AAGTCGGAAGGTCTTCAGGTCGGGAGGTCCGCAAGACGGAAAGACCTCAAGTCGGAAGGTCTTCAGGTCGGGAGATCCGCAAGACGGAAAGACCTCAAGTCGGAAGGTCTTCCGGTCGGGAGGTCCGCAAGACGGAGAGACCTTAAGTCGGAGGGTCTTCAGGTCGGGAGGTCTTCGAGACGGAAAAGTTGTCGAGATAGGATATCCGCAGGTCGGGTAAACTGTAGGTCGGATAGAAGGCGGAGTCGGACAAACGCGGAGGCCTTTGATCAAAGACAGGGGGCGGTTGATATGGAGGTCGGCCCAAGTGGGGTCGGGCGAAGAAGTAGGTCGGACGAAGGACGAAGTCGGGCCAAAAGAGCGGAAGGTTTGTGGTCGGCTCAAGGAGCGAAATATAGGGAATTTTGGTCTGCTGGGGACACGTGTCAGCATGAGAAAGGTTGGAAGACGGTTGAGAAGGAGACGTTGTAACCGTTCGGGTGGCGGTTTTCAGTACGGTTTCCCAGGGAATATTTAAGGATTTGAATCATCGTTTGGCGAGGCATCTTCAATCAACTTCAACAAAGCAAAGTCAGATTTGGGGATCACCACTTTAAATTTCAGTCTTTTATTTTCCAGTTTAGTTTCTGTACGTTACAGTGTTTAGAGATTCCTAATCTCAGGCACTAATTAATCAAGTTTAAGGATATTTTCTATATCTTTGAATTTTACTTTATTTTTGTTGAAAAATTACATCAACAGGGATATTTATTTTAGCTGGTGTATTTACAGTTGCAATATATGATTTCGTAACTTTGGCAGCATCATTAAACACATCAGACAATTGATTTGTAATTTTCTGCAAATGCACAATTCTTTGAACCTCAAGTTCATTATGTTTCATACGATGATCAAATTCAAGTGGTACTTTCCACGAAATTTCTTTTTTCAGTTGATTACCGTCTCCCCCTAATGTCGGGAAATGAGATTCATTAAAGTGACAGTCTGCAAACTTTGCAGTAAATAAATCACCCGTTGTTGGTTCAAGATATTTTACAATCGAAGGTGATTCATACCCGACATATATACCCAACCTTCTTTGAGGTCCCATTTTTGTGTGTTGAGGTAGCGCAATTGGCACATAAACAACACACCCAAAAATTCGCAGGTGAGATATATTTGGTACTTTTCCAGATACCAATTGAATAGGGGAATGACAATGATAACTTGTCGGTCTTATTTTCACGAGGGCTGTTGCATGCAATATGGCATGTCCCCAACATGATACGGGAAGTTTAGACCTCATTAACAATGGTCTATCAATTAATTGCAATCTTTTGATAAGGAATTCAGCGATACCATTTTGCGTATGTACATAGGGAACATGATGTTTCACAGTAATCCCAATTGACATGCAGTAATCATCAAATGTATGTGATGAATACTCTCCAGCATTATTTAGACGTATTTTCTTTATCGGGTGATCTAGAAATTGTGCTCGCAATTTAATTATTTGTGCAAGTAGTCTAGCAAAAGTTAGATTGCGAGTAGATAACAGGCATACGTGGGACCACCGCGTTGATGAGTCGATTAGTACCATAAAGTACTTGAAGGGTCCACACGGTGGATCTAGTGGTCCACAAATATCACCCTGAATTCTTTCAAAAAAAGCTAGGGATTCAAATCCAACATTTGTTGGAGATAGCTTGATTATTAACTTCCCTTTGGAATAGGCAGCACAAGCAAATTCATTCGTACTCAAAATATTTTTATTTTTCAATGAGTGGTCATTTGAATTTTCAAAAATTCGCATCATCATTACATCGTCAGGATGTCCAAGTCGATCGTGCCAAATTTTAAATTCGCTAGTAGTCATTTGGTCTACTAGGTGATATGTTTCAATGGCACTGATTTTTTTAGTAATACAAGTCGGAAGAAAATGATGACAATTTTTCTTTCACAATTCTTTTGTTATTCACAATCTGAGTTATCAGAAGATACTCATTTTCTGTCTCATTCAATAGTTCAATGTGATACTCATTTTTTCAAATATCATTGAAGCTCAGTAAATTCCTTCGAGATTTGCTCGAGAACAGGGCATTTTCAATTGCCATTTTTGTCCCTTTAGGGAGAAATATAGTAGCCTTTCCTGAGTCTTCAATCATTTTCGATGCACCACTGATAGTATCAATAGTGGTCTTTTCCATATTCAGGTGGGAGAAATAACATTTGTTTTCCAGAATATTGTGAGTCGTAGCACTGTCGATAAGACATATATTGTCATCGGCTCCCAAATATTTGACATCTATATCTTTGCAATAAGGTAAAAATAATAAAATACATGTATTAGTAATATAATCAAAATAGACTTATATACAAAAAAGGATGGCAGAAAGCATCAAAATAATAAAAGAGATACAACAACATTTTATCATTTAACATCATCAGCTATGTCAAGCAGATCATCGGCATCCAAGTGCGTGATATTTTCATTCATCACATCATCAAATGTGTCATCGTGGGCAGCGTGATTTGTTTCGGGGGCAATTATTCCCTACATTTCCTTTGAGGCCCGATATAGTTCAGCCAAGTGACTAGTTGTGCGACAAACATGGGCCCAATGGCCTTTGATTTCACACCGGGTGCATTACTTGTCATTGTTTCTGTTTCTCCCGGTGTTGAACCTCTGTTGAGGTCTGTACGGCCTTCTGTCATTATAATGCCAATTTAGCACATATCGGGGTCTGTTTTGATAATTATTGTAATTGTATGTATTTGTCCGGCCCCGTCCACGATTTTGATTTCTATCGCGATCAATTTTTTGATTTCTAACCTGCCCACGGCCACACACCGGATTTTTCAGTTGTATTGCATTTGCCTCTGAAAATGGATTTGCACATGTCGGCCGAGATTCGTGATTTTTCAACAATAATTTGTTATTTTGTTTGACCAGAAAAAGACAGGTGATTAGTTCAGAATATTTCTAGAAGCCTCTTTTGCGATACTGCTGCTGCAAAACCATGTTAGAGGCATGAAAAGTGGAGAAAGTTTTCTCCATCATATCAGATTCAGATATATTTTCGCCACAGTGGCGCAGCTGTGATGTTATTTTAAACATAGCAGAATTATATTCTTGGACTTTTTTAAAGTCCTGAAGCCGTAGGCATTGTCATTCGCTTCATGCCCTTGGCAACAAAGTCAGCCTCAAGTGATCGCATCTTTCTTTCCATCTCTCCCACAATTCAAGTGGGGATTCTAGCGTGATATACTGCATTTTCAGTGCCTCATTGATGAGATGACACAAAAAGATCATGGCCTTTGCACGATCTTGACTCAAGGAATTTTTATTCCGGGCAATAGTATTTTCCAAACTCATTGATGCTAAATGCATTTTCACGTCAAAAGCTCATGCCATATAATTTTGGCCAGAAATGAGGAGAAAGGGAAATTCCTGTTTGAAAATGTTAGACATAATAAATAGATAAAATATAAATTATTACATTGTGAAAAATAAAATATACAATTGTGCTGATAGAATTAGGTAATAAAAATACTAATTATCTCTACTGTTAACCACTATTTTATATATTATATTATATTATAAATATTGTGTATATAAATATATGTATATATATAAATATGTGTATGCATTAGATACATGTATAATATATATATATATATACACGTTATGTATAATGTATGCAGTGTGTGCGTGTGTATTAGATATGAGTGCATAGGTGTGTGTGTGTGAGTGTAGCATTAATTAGAGAAGTAAAACTGAAGGGAAGGGTGTCTTTATTCATTTCATTCTTGATTCATATTTATATACACAACACAACGAAACCTCACCATAAAGAAATAAAAGCGTACAATGACTACATAGCATTTATATGTATCATAAGTAGCTATTATAACAATTTTTTATTAATCCCAAAATGTTACAAAATTCCGAAATTCTCTATCTTAGCGGAGTACAAATGTTTGAAAATAAAATGTACAAAGAACATATGAAAATACACCCTTGGGGTGTGTTCGTTTGTAAGATTTTTAAATCTTCCTATTCATCCCATTTTTTTTCTTCAAAAATATCAAATCAAACACTTATTTTTTATTTTTTATATTATACTAAAAATAAATTTTACATTCAAAACATCATATCAACACCTATTTATATCACATCATACAACTATTCAAATTCAAAATTTTTACTATTCAAATCCCAACTCAAAATCCAAACCCCCAAACAAAACACACCCTTAAGTTTATTTATCTATAGAAATTCCAATGGGATTGAGTAATTTCCTCTCGGTTGACTAGTTGTCAAAAGCTGATGGATGAAGACTCTCTTTACACAATATTTTAGAATTTTGGTACCATTCAATATAAGTATTATGTTAAATATTAATAATTTTCATCTAAGAAAATATCATCTTAAATATATTTTTTTTTAAAAAAAAATAAAATCTGTTTTTAAACAGAACCCAACTTATTATGCAGTTTGCAGGATTTATTTAGGGAATAATAGCTCAACTATAAATAATAAAAAATAATAAAAAGAAAAAAGAAAAAGATTAAGAGTTGAGATAATACGTAGCATGATGGATCCGAACATATGAAGGCCGAAATCCTCATCATCATATGGAAATGTATTTTGGCTCTTGAATATATATATATGTGTGGTTGTAATAACAACAAGAGTAAATAGTTGAAAACTAAAATCAAAGGAAGAATAAAAAGTCAAAAGTTGAACCTTGCAAGTTATAGTTAGTATACGAAGTCGTATTGCGAGCGCAGACGCGTTTCCTTCCTTGAAAACCTTGGCTACTTTTTTATGTATGTATGTACGTACTTATTATTACTGCTTCCATTGCGGGCGGCTCTGCCACCCCCTCCACCCTCACAGTCGGTTTTAAATAAATAAATAATCATTCATACCACATTAGCTGCAAACAAAATTGCGCAGTAATAAGTACTCCTACTTATTATGCATCCGGCCAATTATGACAATGACACAAATAATATAATCTTTCGCTATGTATATTTTTAAAACAAAAAAATAAATAAAATAAAAAATTTAAATACACATGGCGAAAGGTGATTGGTCGGCATAGGAAGAGCACAATACATTGCGAGTAGGGTAACAGAGCGACTGCACGCTGTGCTCGTATATATCATATCATATACAACCAATCGAATGGAATGGAATGGAATGAATAAAATGAATCTAATCTAATCTATGTACAAAAATAAGATGACGATAACGACGACGACACAACAAGATCGAAGCTAATAAGGAAAGTGAATCGAATCGATAATGAGTTAGTTAATTAGAAGCTAGGACGACGACATCATAGCCTGGAACTCCTCAAAACTGAGGACGCCATCGCCGTTGAGATCAAATTTGGCAATCATACCGACGCACTGATCAACGCTCCGCCGCTCTCCCAATCTGCTCAGCATTCTCTTCAAGCTCTTCGCCGTAATGCAACCGCTTCCATCCATTTCATACATTTTGAACGCCTCCTTCAGATCTCCGGCTTTCTCCTCTTCTCCGCACTCTTCCATCATCCTCACAAAATCCTCCACGCACAGCAGGCCGTCTCCGTCCGAATCCATTAGCGCCACAGCCGCTGCCGCCTCCTCCTCGCTCATCTCGCCGCCGATCGATCCTACGCAGTGCCGCAGCTCTGCCGGACATATCTTGCCGTCTTTGTTTGAATCGAAGAGCTTGAATACTCGCTCGTATTGATCGCACTTTCTCATTACGTACCTCTGAAATCTGAATTCGATCGAGAGGACTGATATCGAAATCCTGATCGCGGTTTTCTTCTTGCTCCGGAGTGAAGATTGATCCGATGGAGCCTCAATTATGTCTATGACTATATATAAGCAGAGCAGGGTTTTTTACGCGGGAAGAATATTATATATATATATATATATATTTATAGGTTTGTTCTTCTTGTATACTTCTGCTTGACCTACTTATAATAATAATAATAATAATAATGATACACCGCCTCCATTCCATTCCATGTATTATCCGAATTTGTATTTTATAAATTCTATTATTTTAAAAAATGAATGCGTTCCTAGGCGGGTTAATACGTGGCATTATTTAATTGGTAGAAAGGCTGATGCCTCCTACTGGTTGGGAACGAAAGAGGAAGCACATCCGCATCCACGTTAGAATTAATCAGAAGAGAAGGTCCAAGGAAGCATTCCAAAAGTACCCTTCCGGGAATTTTCATGCGCAATACGCGTACGACGTCGTATGTAGGTATTTCTGGCAAACTACTACTTATTTATCCTAGCAAGTTACTTTTATTTATTCGGTTTCTGTTTTCCACTGTAGAGAGTACATCATCATAAACACATGATGATATGTAATTAAATTTGTTCATTTTCAAAGTAAGATGATGGGTTTTGACTAATAATAAAATTAATGCGATCGTATAGTTGTTAGAAATTTTATCTAATAGTATATATATATTGTTAAACAGCAGCAGGATCACATGAATTAAGAATTCAATTAATTACTTATTAATAAAGCATCTTCTTCAAGCTTGTATTCATATGCTAATATAAACGGAATATGAGTGACGTACTCAATGAGGTGGGCGCCCTTTCTCTTTCTCTTTCTCTTTCGTGTTATACTGCTGCACCCCTTAGGCCTTAATTAATTACCTAATTAGCAGTTTAGTTTATTAAAAATAATGGTCATGGCTTACACGTGCCTTATTTAATTATTAGTGTAGCCTTGTATATATGAAAAAGGATCGGGTCATCCACGAGGAGCACACCGAACCGACACCCCACACCCACACCCACACCGACATATATATATATATATATATATATGGTTTTGGAGATAATAATACAATAGTTACGGCATGTGTAGTGTTTAATTAGTGTCATATCTATATTTTACAATTTACATTATTAGCTTCACCCATTGTATGGATTATTAATGTTTACGTACGCTTGCATGGGCATGGGCATGGGCTTGCTAATGGAATAATAACGTTGCATTTGCATGTGTAAGTAAGTGTGTTGTGTTAGGGCTTACTTCAGACTTTGTTCCTGCTGCCACCAAAAAATGATAATTATGCAACCATTGATTGTAAGGTTTTTGTCGCCAAGTTTGTCTTCGTTTTAGGGACCATACAGATACAGGCACTGGTACTGGCACAGCAACTCAAACAAAGGAGCTGTTTATTTGTAATAGATTAAATTGTTTTGAACAAAATGTCCAACGAAATGCCCGTCTAGCTCAGTCGGTAGAGCGCAAGGCTCTTAACCTTGTGGTCGTGGGTTCGAGCCCCACGGTGGGCGAATTTAATATTATTTTCTCTTTTCGTATTAATTTTTTGGGGTCAATACCAGCTTGAATTGGGCTTTGGGCTAGTAACAAATTAAAAATCATTTTTTTAATTTAAAAATTACTCGAACGAATAAAATTAGTTATATATTTTATATACGGCTGAAAACTGATTTATGAGTGAGAAAAAATGATTGGTCTCGTTAATTTTGGTTCTATTCAAAAAATTTAATGAAACGTGGTTTCATCCAAATGAAAATTCTCAACACAACCATCTCTGTTCACGGCTCTATTCTCAACACAACCAACTATATTGGGCCATGTTCACGATTCTGTTCTCAACACTAATATAATCATATTGTAAATCATGTTTATTATTATTTTTATTTCTAGGTTAAAATTATTTGATATATATATATTTATAATTCAACAAAAATATCTTGTACAATTATTTCATAATATAAAAAATAATTAATATTAAATATTTTAAAAAATAATACAAAAAAAATATAAAAATAATAATATATTAATATATAAGCGGTGTTGAGAAGCAATGAACATGCTCTAAAACATGGGTGTGTTGACAACATAACACACGGGTAAAAACACGACCGTGTTTAAAAGTATAGGATAATCAACACGGCTATGTTAAGCCTAACACGATTGTATTGGCTGCCTGAAAAGCCAGTCACCTTCCAAATCATTCAATACGGCTTGGATTAAAATTAATAAATTTTTATTTAAATATAATCAAAATTAAAAAAAATAATAAAAAATAAAAAAAATGAATAAGACCAAAATATGGAACAAAAAAATATGAATTTTTGCTCTTTACGAGTGTAACACGAAACAATCGTCAGGGCTTCTTTAAGTCGTAAAACATTGAATATGTAATCTGTCTACGTAGCATGAAATTCAACAATGCAGGAGGGAAGGGAATTCGGAAGCTCTAGTCTTGACTTCTCCTTTGTCTGCCGTCCACGTGTCAACTATCTGTCCACACGCTTTTTACCGTTCCAGATCTCTTGTCTACGATCGTTCCTTCTTGTTTCGTTCGCAGCACTGTTCTGGAAACCTCTCGAATTTTCATCTCCTCTCCGCCGCCATGTCCGCGCTCTGCCGGTTCGGACTGTCCACGCTCCTTTATTCTTGCGGGCGTCGGACGATTAGGCGAGGCTATGGATCAGCTGCAGCAGCTCTGTTCGACTGCGATAATTACCACTGGTTCGACGACGATGAAGAGCGTTGCAGAGGATCGTTGGAGGAATCCGACTCGTGGGGAAAGGAGGAGAGGGGTGTACAGTGGGTGATAATCGGTGATCCTAGGGTGAAGCGATATGTGTATGCTAATCGGCTTGCGAAGCTTCTAGCTGTTCCTCACATTTCCATGACTTCTCTCGTTAGGCAAGAGCTCAACCCTAATTCTACTCTGTATAAAAAGGTTCGTTCTCTTTGCGATACTCCAACCTCTAATTAGACCAAGGCTTCCATGATTGTGAAAACATTTACAGAAAATTCACATCGTTTAGGCACTCTACTGGATATGTATTTCAATTTCTATCATATCTGAATTGATAAAACTTGAAATCTATAACTTCCGCTTATAAGAAAGACGTTTAAATGGATACTGTTGCTAATGAAGATTCCGTTATACTTCTATCATGCTCATTGTTAACTGGCAGCTGTATAATATTCCATTTTGTTGCAAAGTAGCAATGATGATGGAGGAATTTCTTTTTGAACGGTTGTTTTTACTCTAGAAAAAATGACATTCTGTTACTTGCTTTTGATCGTAAACCAGATTGCTAGTGCAGTGAACCAAGGCAAGTTAGTTCCTGAAGATGTCATATTTGGTCTTTTGTCGAAAAGATTGGAAGAAGGATACTGCTGCAGAGGTGAAACTGGCTTCATTTTGGATGGAATTCCTCGAACAAGGATGCAAGCAGTAAAATGCTTTCCCTTCTTTTGCCCAACTTACCCTTTTCTCTTTGTTTAATTTAGAACTTCTGCTCGCTCGAATCATTGTTCCAGTTCTTTTTATTTAATATATTATCATGATCGGGGCTGTCAACCCTGAGTAGAATTAATGTGATGTTGGCTTGTTTGCCTTCATTCTGTAGAATTCATGCAGAAACACGTGCCATTTGTTCAAAGAAATTATCATGTAAATTATAATGTTAGCAGGAAGGCTGTCTGAACATTTTCTAGCGTAGTATTATGTTAATCTTCTTGTGGTTTTTTTCAGGAGATACTAGACCAAATTACCGATATAGATTTGGTGCTGAATCTCAAGTGCACAGAGGAGCCTGCAGTGAAGAAAACAACTTCAAGCAATAGACTTTATTCTCCTTGGCAAAAATTCAATTCCATTGCTACCTCCGAATTTCGCCACAGTCTTGAGGCACAAGCAGCTCATTTCCAACCTTTGGGTGAGGAGAAACTAGGAATGTATTCTGAGCAGGTACTTCCATAGCCTCTCTTCCTGGTAGCTGATTCTCATTCCCTGCCATTTGGGAGTATTTAATTATGTTATAGAGTGAGTTGGCTTAACTTGTTTCAATACAGAGGAAGAGCTTAGAAGACTATTACAATGGGCAGAGGAAGCTTGTCAACTTTGAGGTTGCTGGCGGACCTGCAGATACGTGGGAAAGTCTATTGAATGCATTACAGCTGCAGCACCTCACAAGGGTTGAGGCTGTCACTCCTGCTGATAGTTCATTGCACAAATTACCGGTATGATTTTATTACCCTTACGTAGTACCTTTTCATTTGCATCCGTTAAGGCTGTTCTTTAAGTAAACACATGAAGGCTGGATGCATGGTGGAGCTGAGTTTCTCTTCTTATGAGGTAGTGTAAGCGTATCCAATTTTGTAATAGATGTGAAAAGGCTATCATCTTACTGTAAATACAAGTGCATTCTGCCTTAACGATTTGTAGATAATAGAAAGTGAAAATTTCCCTCGTTGATTGGGATCTCTTCATTAGGACGACACAAAAATAAATAGATAACTCTCCAGTCCCATTCTAGTATTTCTTAGGGACTTGCATAAACTTTCCTAAGTCTATCTTAACAGAACAATTCCTGTATCTCAGTCTGTGGTCTGTTACATGACCCAATCTCTAACACAACCAACAGAATCAATACTGAAAACAAAAACAAAAATTCATTTACAATTGAACACTGCTGCAATAAAACAGTGAAGGTATTCTAGAAAAGAAAACAGAGTTGCTGTAGGTGTGTGTGTTTTCGATGGTTGCCTTAGCTGAAGCTCTGAGGGGATAGAGTCTCTGATTTCTGATCAGAATCTGCTGCAGTTTGCACTTGAGCTGCATATTGTAAGTTCCACAGGACACCCTCGAACGAGGGCCGGCTAGACGGCTCTGGTGATATGCATTTGTTTGTGATGGATACCACAATTGACAAAGATTCCTGCGAGCTAGTTGTCAACACGATAGGATCAACAATTTTTCGCCTGCCATCTTGGCTGCTGAAGGATGTCTGGGAACCACAAGAAAACATCATCTCATGAGACAGGTGAATACTTTATAGCATTAAGATTGATGTCTGCGTTAACATACCATTTCATTTAGCAGAAATGCCTCTCTTTTCCCATTTAGATTCGGACCCACAAGTGATTCCAATAATATGAACCCAAAGTCATACACATCATCCTGCAATTTCTCTACTTGCCTGCAATCAAATGTGTCTATTAACCTCAACTCCCAAATAGCTTGTGGTTAATTATTTAGCATGGAAGGGACGTTTCTTTTTACCCTGATTTAGCCATGTCTCCTTTTCCCTACAAAATACACATGTATTGCATTTGTTATAGCTTTTAGTATTGCAAGAATATATACGATACGCTAAAGAGTGCTAGCATACCTCAGTTTTTTCAGTTTCATCCATAAAAATGGACATTCCATAATCACTAAGCTTTGCAACCCCATGCTCATCAAGCAGTATATTGTTTGTCTTCAATTGATTGTTCGGACAAGGTGGGATGACCCCGGTATGCAGAAAATGGACAGCCTTGGCTACGTCGATTAGAATAGATAATCTGTCTGACCATTTGAGAATCTTCTCTGGACTTGCCTCTGCAGTAGAACCAACAGGATCATTCACTATTCAGATAGAAGAGGAGGGGGACATATATATCTGTCTTCTAAGAGATTATTTCACCTGAAAGGTGCGAGCGCAAGCTTCCATTAGGAACATATTCGTGCACAAGGAGCAATCTGTGTATAGTCGAGTCCTCTTGCGTTCCACCATCAATGCAATGGCCTAGAAGGCCAACCAAGTGAGGATGACACAGCTTTGATAGCATATCGAGTCGCAACTTGAGGTTCTGGATAGAGTATTTTCTGGATAGTGCCAAAGATCGTATTGCGACTAGGGTGCCATTTTCAAGTCTTCCTTTGTAAACCTGAGAAAAATGAAGGCACAACAACATAAGAAAAGTTTCAGAATAACACCAGTTACGGTAATTCTTTGTAACATATGTAGCAATACCTTTCCAAGAGAACCCTCCCCCAATAATGTAGTTTGATCGAAGTTTTTTGTGGCTTCTTCCATTTCGCCTACAGAAAACACCTTATAGAGTGGAGAACTTTGATTCCCCATGTTGGAGCCTTCAGAATTGAGCCCTGGTGAAGTAGAAATCGATAGAAAATCATATTCAACTTGAAGGATTCACAATAGACTTTCTTTGAGAAATCACAAAACTAGACAACAAGAACTCACTGGCATTTGCAAATAGTTCCGAGGAGATTCCTGAGGGCGAATGATCTTGCTTAACCTTCGGTGCAACGTGCAAAACAAAACTCTCCCTTCTGCATTGCCTTCTACGGAAAACCAGAAGACCAACAACAAATACGATTGCAACGATCACAACAACACCCCCTACAACACTTGCTAGAATGCTGATTTCCCTCATTGTGGATCCTTTTCCACCCTTATTGAGGTCTTTGCAGTAGGCAGCAGGATGCTGATTCTCAGCATCTTTGGAGAAGCAATTCCCAGAAACTCTAACTACTCTGTTCTCACCATTAGTGTTCAAACAACCTGGAAGCTCACCAGTAAATCTGTTGTTGGAGACATCAACAAGACTTAGAGCATCCCCGCATGTAAGGCTCCCCGGAAGTGATCCGCCAAGAGTGTTTGATGATAAATTCAAGTAACTTATATTCGGTAGTGAGAAAAGCTGCACCGGTGGGATTCCGATCAGATGGTTCCCTGACAGGTCAAGATGCTGCAGTTCATTCATTTTGCCAAACTGCTCCGGTATTCTACCCGAGAATGAATTGTTGCTAAGGAAAATATTAGCAAGCACGTTCGGCAGAGGAGGCAATTCAGATCTAAAGCTGTTGTTTCTCAAATCCAGCAATTGTAGATTAGAGAGGGCGCTCAGATCGGGTAACTCCCCAGAAAGCAAGTTGTTTGACAGAGCTAGCTCAGTCAGTGTGGTAATTCTCGAAACTGATGAAGGAACTTCACTCTTCAACTTGTTGTTCTTCAAGCTCAATACAGTGAGATTCGACAATGAATCCAACCATTCAGGGATTGTGTTATTTAGATAGTTTCCATCGAAGGTCAATGACCTAAGCTTCACCATTCTCGACATTTCAGGAGGAATTGAACCGAAGATGTAATTCGAACTCATGTCTAGAGCTTCAAGCGAATACAATCGATGGATTTTTTCAGGTAATGGTCCCCAAATACCCAATGAGACTAAGCTTACGACTCTTAAGCTAGACAGCCTTGCCAGAGTAGTAGCGAAGGAATCGATAGAGAAAATTGGGGATAAGGTCTGATTGGGGATAGCATATCCCCTAAATTCGTTCATCACCTTGGCGATGTTCTTATCACCTGTAATGCTGATCTCTGTAACGGTGTCGTTTTCGCATTTGATGCTCATGTGTGGTGGAGATGAGGAGCTGCACAAATCACCTGTGTGGGTCTCCCAAACGTTGAGAGGCGATGGGTACTCGAGATGCTTCCTCAGCTGAAGAAGAGCCTGCACTTGATAGCTTCGCAATTGATGAGTTCTCCAAACCAGCAAGAGCAACGAAAGCAATACAGAAATCAAACTAGTCGAATTCCTCATCTTCATATCAGTTTCCTACTGGTAAGCTGCCGTAGAGCTTCAGCAAAACCCTAGAAAACCGTTGGAAATCCAATCCTGGACTTTAAAAGCAAACTCTGGAAAGAGCATCGAAGCATTCATCATTGCTCTCCTCTCTTCATGCGAAACCATAGAAGAATTCTGCGAGCGTCGGATCTAAGGCTGGGAAAAATACAAAAGGCAAGCGATAAGATGCCGAGAGAAACCATAAAAGGAGGAGAAAGAAACCACAGAACGCAAACGAACAAGGCGAAATAATAATGTTGATATTCCTTCCTGCAGAAACAAAAAACACAAAGGACAAGGAGAATGGCTGGATGGTTAATGGGGACAGATTCGATTCGATTCGATTCGATTGGAGGAATTAATATGTAGATGAAGCTGCTGGCGCTGCAGCAAATTACCAAAACTCAACTGATTTCTGAAGATGGAAGAACTCGAAGCAGTGAGTGCAGTGCTGATAATGGAGGGAATTGACATTTAACAACAAACACCTAGTGACATTAATTACAAAATTTGAGGAAAATAAGAAGGCTGTGAGTGAGTTATGAGACGGGAGACAAGACAGTCAGAAATCAGAATTAAGTAGGGATTATTTATTAGTGGTTATTATTCTATCCATTTTTAATACTCCATGATGGGTCCGGCCAGGTCTTGTTACAGAGGGCACAGAATTATCTATTGATTGGCTTGGCTTGGCTGCTCAAGTAGACAAACATTACAGTACAGATTAGTACACCTATCACCTATGCTACGCTGAATATAAAGTAAATATATACTCCCTCCTTTCCCTCCTTTTCTCGCCGAAATTAAGTATTCATTTGTTTTTTACATAGTTTTAGAAATATAGTATTATATTGAAACATAGTAGAAATAAAGTAAAAATGATTAAAATAATCTTATTAGTATGTATGATATAAAGTAATGACATTTGTGTAATATATTGTAAATTGTAAAGGTATTTGTAATGTTAGTTAAAAAATAAATAAATATTTTGTTATAATAAAATGAATTAAAATAAAAAAATAAATATTTTGTTATGGGACGGAGAGAGAAAAAAGAGTATATGTATATAAGACAGAGAAGGTGATAAATGTAATTATGTAATGTAATGTGATGTAATCATGTTCATAAAGGTGGTTATTATTGGGAATTGGAATTGGGCTGACCAGTCAAGGCTGGGCCCACTATCCAAGACTAGACTTTAGGTTTGTAATTTCTCTCTCCACTCCGACTGTGACTGTTCAATAAAATTGGGGGAGTTAAGATAAGGAGTTAGGAGCATTTCATTTATTGGTGTAATAGATTGATGGTTAATTAAATTATTGCATCTAATGGTTAGCATTCGGATTTTCATTAGTTTGGTGCTCCATCCAATTTTGTCAAATTTGAATCTATTTTAATTTTTGAAATTTTTAAAGAAAAATCAATTCAACTCAAATCAAAATGTCCGAGATTTGAATTTTTAAATTTTAAATTATAAAACTCGAATCTAATCCGAAAAACGAAAATATAAAAATTCTAATTTAAATTATAAAATCGGAAACATATAGAAAATTTCAAAATTACATAATATGTTTTAAAATGTAAAAATTTGATAATGATTTGTTTTTTTTTTTATTATGGAACTATTATTTTATTTAAATATTAAATCTATATATAATAAAGTTAATTAATATATATATATATCTATTATATTTTGGACTTGAGATTGATTTAACATTTTATTTTAAAAAATATCTGAAAATTCAAAATTATAAAACAAATTTAATTCAATCGAATTCGAACTAAATTTTAAATCTAATTTTGCTCGGATAGAAAATTCGGATGTATTCTTTTTGTGAAAACAAACAAATATATTTTTTTTAAAAAAAAAAAATAATTTATACGCACCATTATTTTTATATTATCTGCACAATATTTTATACCTCGTATAAAAAAAAAAAAAAATCTTTTAAACCATTTTACAAAATAAACACACCCGCTTTGAATTCTCATCCTGCCTTTGTTTTTTTGACCCACAGGTGGTTTGAAAACTTCCCTGTATTTTCGTAATATGCATAAAAATTTTATTTTTTAAAAATAAATTTATACAATTTTTTTAAAATATAAATGAATTTTATTCAATTTAAAAAAATTTGAACAATATCTTCTACAAATTAAAAGAGCCTTATACAATACTCTCTCCCTTTTTTATTCAAATTTATTTTTTTTTTCTTTTTTTTTGTTATTCAAATTTATTTTCGTTTTTTTAGTAAAAAAATATTATTTTTTTATCAAAAAAAAATTATTCTTACATATTATTTTTAAAACTCGTATCCGGTCAAATAAACACACAATTGGACGACGGATAAATAGTAAAATTAATGTCAAATCAAAAGTGAATTATAAGTCCAATGGACAGTCCTCTGTCTCGGTAATCTCCCCCTTGGGTACAAAAAGTACGCCCTAATCAACTTTACCTTTTATTTTTTGTGCTTTGTTATTGATCTGAGTCAGGACTTATTCCTTTTAAGACTAAAAAGAAACGAGTTTTGTTGGGGTTGTGTTTTTGTTTTAATCGAGGTTTTGTTTTTATTTGTTATTTTTATTCCATATTTAAATAATATTTTTATATTATGTTTTGTAAAATATATTTTTTTTATCTCAATTGAATTGTTATTTTTTATTGATGATACTTTATTTAAAATAATAATATTTAATTAATTAATAATATTTATTTATTATATCAGTTTATTATTTTTTATATAATTAATAATATTAGTAGTTCTATAATTTAATATATATAACTAAAAAAATAAAATATATATTTAAATATTTTAAAATTAGATCACAATATGTTTATTTATTATAATTAATATAAACTAATTTATTTTAAGTACTTATAAGATAAAAATATTACTTTCTTCGTTTCCGAATTATCCATGCTACCGTAAAAACAAAAATTTAGATAAAGTATAATTAATAAGTAATTAAAAAGTGTATTAATAAAAAAAATTATTTTTATTATAAAAATAATTATTAAAATTAAGATAATTAAATAATATAATTAAGATTTAAAAACTTATAAATTATGAAATTTAAAATGTATAATTATATTTAAAAAAAAAGAAAAAGAAATTATATGGGACTGACGAAAATAAAAAATATGGACAATTTATGTGAGACGGAGATAGTAGTTTTTTCTAGGAGAGAAATAAAAATAAAGCGATTTTGAATGGATCCTATCTGATATATTATATTATATGTCACGTAGTTAATTAAATTGATTTATATTTCTAAGTATATTTTAATTTATTAAAACTTATTCAAAATAAAAAAAATGTCAATTATTACAAGACATACAAAAATGATAAATGATCAATTAAGATGGAACGAAAAGAGTATTTTTTTTATTGAAAATTTTGATTAATAAACAATTGGTTTTAAAATCAAAACCAAGATATTCTTGTTTTTTTACCTATATGTATATTTCATCCGTTCTGTTTTAAATGTGTTTTTAATTTAGGACATAATATTTAAAATAATAATATTTAATTAATTAATAATAGTAATTTAGGATATTATTTTTAATTTTTATGTAAATAATATTATTAATAATTTAAAAATAAGAATTAATATATATAATTAAAAACATATTTAAAATATATTCCTCCGTACTAATACAATAGTCTTATTTACCATTTTTGTTCGTCCCAAAATAATATTCTTATTTCCATAGATAATCATATCACTGTAAAACTATCATTACGTTCTCATTATTATTATACAATTACCACTGTTTTTTACACTAATACACTCACAAGGGCAACCCGTATTTTTTACTCACTATCAATATAATATTAATATTTCTTAAATCTCGTGTCAAACACAACTCAAACTATACTTTTGGGACGAATGGAGTATATATTTAAATATTTTAAAACTTATATCTCAATATATATATATTTTGATGATGTGGGAACCCGCAGCCGCTACTCGAAAGTGCGTACTGAGTAAACCCCGGTCGAACCTAATACCCTGCAAACTAGATCCTACATAAAAGACACACTAGTCTATTTTAGGAGATTTTTTCTTTTTCAGAATTTTAATTTATTTTTAAAAAGAATTAAGTGGGCCCTGCCAATATATACTTTATGAGTATAATACTCTCTTCGTTCTTAATTTTTTCATTTAATTTTTCTGTACAAATTAAGGTAAATTAATATTTTTTACATATATAATATAATAAAATAGTGTAATATCTATTTTTACGTTTGACATTAAAATAAAAACAATATGAAAAATAAAAAATAAAATTATTTTGATATTTAATTAAATGTTAATTTTACTAAAATAAAAAATAGATTTTTTTGATTTGAACAGCTAAAATAATAAAATGAGAAATTTACTTAATGCACATAGTAAATAATAATTATTAATTTAATAACTTATAACTAATAATTTTTGTTTATTAGTATATTTTTATGGGGTTCGAATCTCCTATCCGGCACATCTTCCCGTCGCTCATGTCCATCCAATTGCAAAGCTACGGGTGCTTCCTTACTTTTTTTTCTTTTTTTTTAAATAAAAATTAAATTTTTATTACAATTTACAATTTTACCCCTTAATTTTAATAGCTATTTTATTTCTTTTTCAACCCAAAATATAATTTTACGCAGCAATTCCATCTCCTCGCTCGCCGCCTGCCGCCAGTCGCCGACTAGGCCGTCGCCGCCGCTCTCTTCTTTCCGGCCTCAAGAGATCCGAACCCGAATTATACCATTTTTCACTTTTACTTGTTTGAGCTCGGTTTTCACGGTTTCCTCTATGGTATTCATAAATCCGGAGACTTTAATCAGGAAACAGGATGCTGAAATCGTTATTTAATCTCCTAGTAATGGAATGGCCAGAATTGCATTCTTCGGTGGCTGTAAATTCTCACTCAGTCACTCATCTTCACCATTTGCTAAGCTCCTGGAAACCTGCACGAAATCTAGGTCATCAACGGACGTCCGGGCTGTCCATGCTTCCATTGTCAAGTCTCAGTTCATTCATGAAGTGTTCATCAACAATAGGCTGATCGATGTGTACGGAAAATGTGGGTATTCTAAATACGCCCGTAAGTTGTTCGACAAAATGCCTACAACAAATGCCTTTACTTATAATTCAATTATCGGTGCATTGACGATGTCTGGATCGATAGATGAGGCTGAAAAGGTTTTTGCTTCAATGCCTGAATGTGATCAGTGTTCCTGGAATTTGGTGGGCTCTGGTTTTGCTCAGGCTGAGAACTTTGATAGATCTTTGGAGTATTTTGTGAAAATGCATGAAGCAGATTTCATGCTAAATGAGTATAGTTTTGGGAGTGCACTCAGCGCTTGTGCCGGATTGCGGGACTTGCTAACGGGTATACAAATTCATGCTTGTCTTGCTAAGTCAAGGTTCGAATTGGATGTCTAGGCCGGTCGCCGACTAGGCCGTCGCCGCCGCTCTCTTCGTAGCCTCTCTCCGTCGTCGTTGTCCAGTCGGTTGCTGCTCTATCCCCTTTCTCAAACCGCCCACCATCAGAAATCTTCCTGCCATCTTCTAATCGTCTTGTCGAGCTCAAGATGGGTAGGCCATCTTCTAATCGTCCTGGAACTGCGAACCTCGTCATTGAGGTTGGCGAGGCCGAAAACCCTCCCACTGGATCTATAGGGGTTTACTCCAAGCCTGAGGTACCATTTTTTTTTTTTTTTTGAAGTATTCCTTGTTCTGGGTAATTATGTACTATGATGTTTACCGAACTAATAATATCTATGATTGATCATTTGAGTTCTTTGCTGCTGGTAATTTGAAAATGCCTATAAGGTGCTGAGGGTTAGCTATAGAAGATTACATTAACATTGTGTTTGGAATGTCAATTTCTGAATTGAGCTAAATTGTTATGTTAGGTTTCATTTTTGCAACTATGGAAACAATATTTGTTCTAGCCGAACATAATCAACCCAGAACCTCAAGGAAAATGTTGGTTATGGCTGATATCATTATGATGATTAGGACTAGAAAATGAAGGATTGTGAATGTTGATTTGGTCGTATTATTCTTTGTATTTCCGAATGAAAAATGGATGCCTCAGTTTACATGTGAATTGACAGTATTATTAGTATTGAAATTCTAAATTGATCTCATAGGCTAGATCTTGGTCTCTGGAAGGGGCACTGAAACTGAAGAATTTGCTCGGATATGGAGATATTTGGGATGGTTCGGTTGCGTGTGGATGGGGTCAGGTATTGGAAGTTAGCGCGGGACTCTCTTTACCTCGATTTAAAGGAATGTCGACTCCTTTGTCTTGGCAAAACCCACGATTATGAATCATATATTATGTATCTTTCAACTATTCTGCTGGGAAGAGGTAAATGATTAAAGTTCATTTTTGGTGTAATTTTTATGTGTAAATCAAAGTTAAAGTGTTGTTCTAAGATTGCCGAAACTTGAAATAACTATGAAAATTAAGGTGGTGTTAAAGAAAAGTTGTTGAAAACTGAGATGGAGAATAAAGTCTTGTGCTCGTCGAATTCTGGAATTAAATTAGTATTTCTTATGCTTTATTTTACTCTGTTATGTTGGTGAGCAAATGAAGAAGCATGAAATTAAAAATTTTGTTGTGTTGGTGTTAGGTTAAATGAAGTATATCAGTACTCCATCACTTAAAAAAAGTTCATTCAATATATTATTTTTAGTCTTGGTTCCTATGAAGCTCAGAATATTATTGCAACTGCATGATAGTTATGTTTTATTTTGTATGTCTTTTGATAATTGAAATCGAATGACATTATTTATGTTTTGTACTTGCCATCATTTAGGTGTGCAAGCTTATATTTGCATGTCCAAATTTGTTTATATTTGAACTTTAACTTTGTGCAGGGACTAAAGGCTTATATATTGAGTGGACTTGATTGGCTTTCAAAAGAAAGTCAAATATGCAATTAAAGAAGAGGAGACTAGCTCAATTAATTAATTACATTGTCAATAATATATATATAATCCTGATAGATGATTTTGAGAAGAAACCTAGTTTGTAATAAGGTAATGCAGGCCGACTATTAGATTGTATTAAGCTCCATTGGATTTTGTTATGTGCAGCAGTTTGTATACATACTTATACTTAATTCCTAATTATGCAGAGTATTATTACTATATATATTGCATACATATGTTAGTTGTTTATTTATATAATCAATATGATACAATCAAAAGTGTACTGAATTAAGAAGTATTATTATTATTATTATTATTATTATTATTATTATTATTATTAATTATACAAAACCAACTCTCATAATAGCATTAAACAATAAAAAATTGCAAGCATAACTTGTTTGCATGAAAGATTTATTACCAATATAAATACAAAGACTCAAAACACAAAAATAAGATTCAAAACAATAAAAATTCAAGTTGTAGAATCATTCAAGTTAATAGTTGAAATGTTGTTCCATCATCTCTCTTTCTTACAAAATTACCAAAAGATATAAGAAAAGTGTCATCGGCATTGGAAATGTCTGCAAAATCATTCCATCTAAAGATAAAACTTACAACTTCGCACAACAAAACAAGTTTCATTCCAACCTATTATATGTCACAAGATCCATGACTACGGGATGACTAAACCTGTATAAATGTAAGTATTAGTACTTGAGCGAAAATACAATAATTTAAATCATAAAATCACGACATGAATTATAAAAACAAATACCTCAAGTAATTGAGTGAAATTCAGAGCATATGTCGAATCACCAGGGCATTGGGAATGCAAGTTTGATATTGAATTAAGTGTTTCGATCTATAATTAAATATATAAATTAGAAAAAAAAAAAGAAAAAAAGCACAACATTAAAAAATGAAATAAAAATTCAAAATAAAGTACAAAAAAGTAAACCTGTTGCGGGGCTATTTGATCTTGCCTCAATAGAATGTCATATCCTTCAACACGTGTCTCATTTATAGATGACTATTTAAAAAATAATATAATTATATTAATATCAAGTAAAATAATGTAAGGACAAATACTAAAATTAATGCATTTTTTTTTCAATTTAAAATGGATTTTTTTATACCTCCGGTTGTTTTTTTTTTCTTGGAATTCTTTTCCAACCCACTTTTTGGTCTTTTACCGGAACGTATTCTTGCTTTTGTCTTTATGCCCTTCACATGTACGTTGCCTTCTTTCTCCGGAGCTGCTCCCATCCTCAAAGCTGCTTGAGTATCGCTCACAGAAGATCTCTCACCCAAATATTCATTCACCTTCTCAGTGGTCTTCACAAATGATTCTTTCGCCAATTCATATGTTTCTTTAGATTCTCAAGCCCTTATCATCAATTTGTTGAAAAACAAATTCAAATCCCTATACCTAATGCCCGCCATTTTCTTAGGATCATCCACGTCATCTTCCAAGGAAAACACCACTCCACTCTTAGTGTGTTTGTTTGGGGGTTTGAATTTTGAATTGAGATTTGAATAGTAAAAATTTTGAATTTGAATAGTTGTATGATGTGATATAAATAGGTGTTGATGTGATGTTTTGAATGTAAAATTGATTTTTAGTATAATATAAAAAAATAAAAAATAAGTGTTTGATTTGATGTTTTGGGGAGGGGGGAAAATGGGATAAATAGTGGAAATCTAATCAAATTCCCCAAACAAACACACCCTTAGCAGATTTTGTCCATCTTTTCATCATATATTGCTTTGGGATCTTAAAAACATTATTATTTGTCAGGACTTTCAACGCATGAGCGCATAACAAGCCGCCAAATTCAAATTTCCTACAACTACAAGAAACGATCATCTAAAGAGTTAAAGTTCACAACATGATACATTGACCTTCCCAAGTAACTGACATGATAAACTGCTACTGTTTCATCCATGCATTAAGAACCACCGCACAATCATAAGCTTTTCCTAGTTCCTTTTGAAAATCCTTAAAAACTTCAGTACACACTTGCAACATGTTTCAAAAGTTGAACAGGTAAAGGAAGGACCGGAGCACTCGTACGTGCTTTAAAATCAGCAATCATTTCCTCATATCGGCGAGATTCAATTAAAATTTCGAATTGTTCAAAAAATACTCGCAAAGGGTTCTTGGAACTCACGTACCTTTTGATAACACTATTCATGCTTTCACGACGCTGTGTTGTAGTAATATTAGCACAAAAGAATTGGCGCCCATATACCAATGCCCATTTTTCTTTAACTCTAAACAACCTCTTCAACCATTCGTTCTCCATTATATCATACTTCTCCAACATTGCATCCCATTCATGCAGAAATTCATCTTCTTCACAATCATAAATACACCTTCTAAAATGATGTGCAAAATCATTATATTTTTCAAAAACTCCACTTAAATGTATTGCACCATTTTGATAGATATGCCAAAATACATAGCCTGTGGCAAGTTTCAGGCCATCTTGTACCTAATGCATTCGCCATAGCATGATCCTGATCTGTCAGAATAATGATAGGCTTTTTTCCACCCATGGTGTCTGCGAATGTATCAAACAACCATTCAAATGAAGGGATTGTCTTATCATATAAAAGTGTGGCACCAAAGATTATTGTTTTTCGATGATGATTGACACCGACAAATAATGCAAAAGGGCGGCTTTCTCTGTTTTTTCTATACGTAGTGTCGAAACTCACAACATCTCCGAAATCAGACTAATCTGCTTTCATTCTGCCATCTGCCCAAAAGATATTAGTTATCATATCATCTTCATCAACTTGAATTGAATACGAAGAATTCGGATCTTTCTTTTGCATCTCCTGCAAATACTCAAGCACTCCACCGGTATCTCCAATTTTCATATTTTTTGTTCTCTTTGAGCGTAAATAATTCTTATGGTCTTGCTCAATAAATCCTAAGCTGTCTCGGCCACCGGCTTCTTTAACCATAAGATTATGAGAGAGTTTTGGAGTAAGTCCCACAGATTCTGCCATCTCAATCTGCTTAGCATGGGCATCATTTATCCTCCTATGTGACCTTAAAAAATGTGTTTCTTAGGGGCCAGTAAGATAATGCGTATGTTGAGAAATAAACTCAACAACCTGATATTTTTCATTCTCTTTCAAACAAATCTTTATTCTAGCATTGCAATCAAATCTTGTTATTGGCCGTGGCGCTTTCACATTAATACTTCTCATATCCTCCTCCCGTTTTCCTTCAGTACTACAAGCTAAAATTCTGGATATGATTTTACCCTTTTTATCTTTATGCATCTTGTGTCTTTTGATGCCAAAACCTATATTTGTAGCATAACTTAGATAATATTGATATGCAGCTTCCTCTGAATCAAACAACATTCCAATTTCAATTGTTTTGGTCTCTGTTTGAGATGGCGAGCCTAAATTATCAAATTCGATACCTGTAAAGTAAATCACAATGAAATAAAAAAAATACCAAATTTCAATGGATTTACAAACAAAAGCACATACAATGAATGATTTTCAAAAAATAGTTTAGCATAATAATAATAATAATAATAATAATGTACCTATTTTTTTGTAATTAGAGGTTGAGAAAGAAGCTGTAACTACGATGGAAGACCAGAGTGCGTGCAGTAAGAATATGTCATGAGAAATTTTCCGACGATGGCCGAAAGAAGAGAGCGGCGGAGACGGCCTAGTCGGCAACCGGCGGCAGGCGGCGAGCGAGGCGATGGAATTGCTGCGTCGTTCAAACAAAATAAAAATTATATTTAGGGTTGAAAGAGAAATAAAATGGCTATTAAAATTAAGGGGTAAAATTGTTAATTGTAATAAAAATTTAATTTTTATTTTTAAAAAAAAGGGTAAGGAAGCACCTGTCGCTCTGCAATTGGATGGACAGGAGCGACAGGGAGATGTGCCGGAGAGGAGATCCGAACCCATTTTTATGTGTTATGATATTTGTTATGTTTTGATACTAATAAATAAATACTTATATGATATTTTAAATAAAAATAAATATAACATCCTCTCCATCATAGTATAATTTACACATTTTGTAGTGGACACAGTATTTAAGATAATGGTATTTAATTAGATAATAATAGTGACTTATTAGTATTATTTTCTTATATGATTAATAATATTGGTCGTTTTGAAATAAGTTTAATATGTATAATTAAAAATTTTATAATAATAATTTAAATATTTTAAAAATTATATCTTAATAAAAAATATATAAATATGAATATTATTTTGTAGAGAATAAAATTTTATATAATACAATTAAATAAAAAAATACATTTGTTAATTTATAATTAACATAAACTAATTTTATAAAAGAGATATAGTATTAAATGTAAACAAAATATTTGTTTTTAAAAGAGATTAAAATAAAACGATTTTAAGTGAGTCCTACATGGTTTATAATGTTATATATTACGCAGTTAACGAAGTTGATTTATATTTGTTAAGTATATTTTAATTTAATAAATTTTATCCAAAATAAAAATGTGTAAATTAAAGTGAACGGAAAAAATGAACAATAAAATGTCAATTAAGATGGGACGACGGAAGTATAATAATTTTTGGAAGAAATATTTAATAAAAATAAATATTTTTTAATAATATTTAATTATTTGATATGATATAAATAAATATTAATATAATACTTTAAATTTATAATTAATTATTAGTATAACATAATAAATATGTTTGACTCAGTATTTTTAGTAGAATATCTTTTTAAAAATAATAGAAAATCACCTTTAACAAACACAACCACATGCTATATGACATATTAAATGAAAAATAAATATGTAATGCTATATATTTTTTTTTTAAAAAAATATTTAATAAAAATAAATATTTTTATCTATATTTTATTATTGTTATAATTAAAATATAATAAAGTACTTCCTCCGTGCCAATACAATAGTCTTGTTTATCATTTTTGTCCATCTCAAAACAATAGTCTTATTTCCATAAATAATCACTCGTACGTTTTTATTTTTATTACACAATTGTCACTACTTTTTACACTAATGACCTGTCGCGTGGTCAATCACAATTTAATGTAATACAAGGGAAGTGATCGTCTCCACGGATTGTGTGATTCACTCGTTATGTGTTTTAATGCAGGAAATAAAATGGGAGAATTTTCTTTTATTA